GAGGAGGAGGAGGACGAGGAGGAGGAGGAGGAAGATGAGGAGGAGGCAGGATAGATACCCTTGATTCCTAGGTGCCGCTCGCTACAAGTACCCACCCTCCCCCGTTCCCCCGTGGCCCCAGCGTGGAGATGGCGCCCCTTGCTGCCTCCTGGATTCATGATTCCTGGGCGCCGCTCGCCACAGGGGCCCACCTCCTTGAAGTGCCCGTGACAAGGCCGGCGATTCTTAATTCTTGGCCCGTTGGCCGAATAAGCACCTGTGACCTTAAAGCGGCCCAGCGCCCCTCCTTGAAAGAGGAGGGAGGGAGGAGGGACGAGGAGGAGGAAAGAGGCCCGGATGGAGGGAGGGGGGGGAGGAGGGAGGTGGAAGGGCAGAAGGGGGAAGGAACGGGGGGAGCATGGAGGGGAAGGATGGCTGCTGCTGCTGATGATGACAGAGGAGGAACGCGAGAACATGAAGGAACCAGAAGCCATCGAGAAGAGGGGGACTTGGAGTGAGGAAGATGAAGCGGCGACGATCTTTTTGGGGGGGTCGACCGAACCGCGTTGCCGAAAGCGGACGCCCTCAATTCGCCGTGAGCTTCCCGGTGACCGGGTCGACCTCGTCAGAGCAGCCGTCCATCACCCCCCTCATGTACAGGCCCCATATCAGTGTCTCCTCGGCGGGGCCCCTCGGAGGCAGGGCAGGGGTGGGGGTGGGGGGCGGCCGTATCAGAAGGCTTCCCCCCGCCCTCGTAGAGGAGAGAGAGGGTGAGAGGGATGAGGGTGAGGATGATGATGCGGCAAGGGAGAAGGCGGAGGAGCAGGAGAAGAAGGAGGAAGGAGGATGAGGATGATGATGATGATGATGATGATGATGATGATGAGGAGGAGGAGGAGGAGGAGGAGGAGGAGGAGGAGGAGGAGGAGGAGGAGAAAGACGAGGAGGAGGAGGAGGATGAGGAGGTGGTCAATGCGAACGCAAGGCAAGGCAAGCCGCTCGGGGAAGTTGCGAAGGTGCTGCTCCTGACACTGCTGCTTTGACCCTGGACGATGAGAGGGCGAAGAAGAGGGACGAGGGGGACGTGGAACAGGATGGGGAGGAGGAGCGGAGGCAGAGGAGGTGGAGGGGGAATGGCAGGAGGGCGCCGAGACAGCCACATAACGTGAGAGGGGCGAGGAGAGCGAGATTAAAGGCACCATAATCGGCATGAACAAAAAATATTGACGTTCCGCGCGGATTTCATTGATCTGAGCTGGACCCCCCTCCCTGAGCGGATTTCACCTGATCTGAGCTCCGCGTGCCAGGGAGGGGGGTCCAGCGCAGATCCAAGGAATCCGCGCGGAGCGTCAAAGGTTTGTGCCTGTGCCTGTGCCGCGCGGAGCGTCAAAGGTTTGTGCCTCCTCGCCCCTCCCTCACTTACTGCTTCGTGTATGCCGTTTTCCCTTCTTCGAGAAGCTCGACTACATGCAAGGGTGACCCTGGGTAAGAGTGATCTTTGGTGTGCGGCTTTTTGGGGGCCGCGGGGGGGTCAAACACAAGCGTGCATACCGCATCGCATTCGGCGATCGGGAGACCCCAACGGGCCCGCACCAAAAGTCACTCTGGCGAAGGGTCACTCTTACGTGCAGTCGACGATCTGGTGAATTCTCGAACTCAAGGTCGGCCACCAATTGTCCCGGACCTCCCTGGACCTCTCCCCGGGTGCGGTCTGACTAGGATGTCGAGGCGAATCCAGCGGTGGCGACGAGGGCCACTCAGGAGGCTCAGAAAGGGGAAAACGAGGGAAAGGTATCGATATGAGTAGTTTTTCCTCCGCTGAGATCTGGTAGTTTCGCTGGAAACGGGAAGCGTGTATAAGCGGGAGGCCAAGGCTCCCTTCGTCGTGATCTTTTTTCACAGCGTCGACCCCCAGAAGTCCGGACCCTTTCCCTGGGACCGGCTCTTCTTCCAGAGTCGTCTTTTCGCGCTCCCGGGGCCCGGTAGGGGCCCGCAGAGCCCGAAGATAGCGAAAAACCTCCCGTAGTGTTTTCCACGGCGCGACGGGGTCTGGGCAAGGCTGCGCATGTCGTCGGTCTCCGTCATCTCCCGCAGGCCCTCCTCGGAGGCCGCCTCGTGGATGGCCCACAGGCCCGCCCCGTCCTGTCGGGAAGGCGCCGCCGCCCGCACCGGCCGCCGACCGCGGACGAGCCGGCGCGCGCGGCTCGTCGCCCAGATCGGGGGGGGGAGGAGGAGAAGGAGGAGGAGGAAGAAGAGGAAGAGG